TTGCTAAATTCGGAGTTTTTCTAGAGAAGGAGTTTCTCTCGAAAGAAGTGAGTGGGAGGAAAGTAGAACTTGATGAGGTAACTGTACCTGCTCCCTTATTGGAAAGTAGTTTATCACAGAAATCTGTTCCTGTGACTACTACACCAATTAGTGAGGAAGCTAATGATGATGATCATGTAACTTCAGATCAAGTTACTACCGAATCTCGTAGGTAAACCAGAGTGAGATCCACACCAGAGTGGTACAGTAATCCTGTTCTGGAAGTCATGTTACTAGACCATGACGAACTTGCGAACTATGAGGAAGTGATGACGAGCCCAAATTCCGCGAAATGGTTTGAGGCCATAAAATCTGAGATATGATCCATGTATGAGAACAAAGTATGGACTTTGATGGATTTGCCCGATGATCGGCAAGCCATAGAAAATAAATGGATCTTCAAGAGGAAGACGGACACTGATAGTAGTGTTACTATCTACAAAGCTAGAATTGTCGCAAAAGGTTTTCGACAAGTTCAAGGTGTTGACTACGATGAGATTTTCTCACTTGTATATATGCTTAAGTCCGTCCGAATCATGTTAGCAATTGCCGCATTTTATGAAATCTGGCAAATGGGTAAACAAAACTGCATTCATTAATGGATTTCTTAAAGAAGAGTTGTATATGATGCAACCAGAAGGTTTTGTCAATCCTAAAGGTGTTAACAAAATATGCAAGCTCCAACGATCCATCTATGGACTGGTGCAAGCATCTCGGAGTTGGAATATACGCTTTGATAAGTTGATCAAAGCATATAGTTTTATACAGACTTACGGTGAAGCCTGTATTTACAAGAAAGTGAGTGGGAGCACTACAACATTTCTGATAAGTATATGTGAACAACATATTGTTGATCGGAAATAATGTATAATTTTCTGGAAAGCATAAAGGAATATTTGAAAGGAGTTTTTCAAAGAAAGACCTCGGTAAAGCTGCTTACATATTGAGCATCAAGATCTATAGAGATAGATCAAGACGCTTGATAAGTTTTTCAATGAGTACATACCTTGACAAGATTTTGAAGTAGTTCAAAATGGAACAGTCAGAGAAAGAGTTCTTGCCTGTGTTGCAAGGTGTGAAATTGAGTAAGACTCAAAGCCCGACCACGACAGAAGATAGAAATAGAATGAAAGTCATTCCCTATGCCTCAGCCATAGGTTCTATAAAGTATGCCATGCTGTGTACCAGATCTATTGTATACCCTACACTGTGTTAAGCAAGGGAGTGCAATAGTGATCTAAGAGTAGATCACTGGACAACGGTCAAAATTATCCTTAGTGGAATAAGGAAATATTTCTCAATTATGGAGGTGACAAAAAGGTTCGTCGTAAAAAGTTACGTCGATGCAAGTTTTGACACAGATCTGGATGACTCTAAGTCTCAATCTAGATACATATTGGAAGTGGGAGCAATAAGCTAGAGTAGCTCCATGCAGAGCATTGTTGACATAGAAATTCACAAATACTTACGGATCTGAATGTGACAGACCCGTTGACTAAAATTATCTCATAAGAAAAACATGATCACACCTTAGTACTCTTTGGGTGTTAATCACATAGCGATGTGAACTAGATTACTGACTCTAGTAAACCCTTTGGGTGTTGATCACATATCGATGTGAACTATGGGTGTTAATCACATGGTGATGTGAACTATTGCTGTTAAATCACATGGCGATGTGAACTAGATTATTGACTCTAGTGCAAGTGGGAGACTGAAGGAAATATGCCCTAGAGGCAATAATAAAGTTATTATTTATTTCCTTATATCATGATAAATGTTTATTATTCATGCTAGAATTGTATTAACCGGAAACATAATACTTGTGTGAATACATAGACAAACAAAGTGTCACTAGTATGCCTCTACTTGACTAGCTCATTAATCGAAGATGGTTATGTTTCCTAACCATAAACAAAAGAGTTGTTATTTGATTAACGGGATCACATCATTAGGAGAATGATGTGATTGACATGACCCATTCCATTAGCTTAGCACCCGATCGTTTAGTATGTTGCTATTGCTTTCTTCATGACTTATACATGTTCCTATGACTATGAGATTATGCAACTCCCGTTTGCCGGAGGAACACTTTGTGTGCTACCAAACGTCACAACGTAACTGGGTGATTATAAAGGAGCTCTACAGGTGTCTCCAAAGGTACATGTTGGGTTGGCGTATTTCGAGATTAGGATTTGTCACTCCGATTGTCGGAGAGGTATCTCTGGGCCCTCTCAGTAATGCACATCACATAAGCCTTGCAAGCATTGCAACTAATGAGTTAGTTGTGAGATGATGTATTACAGAACGAGTAAAGAGACTTGCCGGTAACGAGATTGAACTAGGTATTGAGATACCGACGATTGAATCTCGGGTAAGTAACATACTGATGACAAAGGGAACAACGTATGTTGTTATGCGGTCTGACCGATAAAGATCTTCGTAGAATATGTAGGAGCCAATATGAGCATCCAGGTTCCGCTATTGGTTATTGACCAGAGACATGTCTCGGTCATGTCTACATTGTTCTCGAACCCGTAGGGTCCGCACGCTTAAGGTTACGATGATAGTTATATTATGAATTTATGCATTTTGATGTACCAAAGGTTGTTCAGAGTCCCGGATGTGATCACGGACATGACGAGGAGTCTCGAAATGGTCGAGACATAAAGATTTATATATTGGAAGCCTATGTTTGGATATCAAAAGTGTTCCGGGTGAAATCGGGATTTTACCGGAGTACCGGGAGGTTACCGGAACCCCCCGGGAGTTATATGGGCCATAGTGGGCCTTAGTGGAAAAGAGAAAGGGCAGCCCAAGATGGGCCGTGCGCCCCTCCCCTCCCTTGGTCCGAATAGGACAAGGAGAGGGGGCCGGCCCCCCTCTCTCTTTCCCCCCCTCCGCGAATCCTATTCCAACTAGGATTGGGGGGGAATCCTACTCCCAGAGGGAGTAGGACTCTCCTGGCGCGCCTCTCCTAGGCCGGCCGCACCCCCCCCCTTTAATCCTTTATATACGGAGGCAGGGGCACCCCAGAGACACACAAGTTGATCCACGTGATCATATTCTTAGCCGTGTGCGGTGCCCCCTTTCACCATAGTCCTCGATAATATTGTAGCGGTGCTTAGGCGAAGCCCTGCGACAGTAGTACATCAAGATCGTCACCACGCCATCGTGCTGACGGAACTCTTCCCCGACACTTTGCTGGATCGGAGTCCGGGGATCGTCATCGAGCTGAACGTGTGCTAGAACTCGGAGGTGCCGTAGTTTCGGTGCTTGATCGGTCGGGCCGTGGAGACGTACGACTACATCAACCAAACGCTTCCGTTATCGATCTACAAGGTATGTAGATCACACTCTCCCCTCGTTGCTATGCATCATCATGATCTTGCGTGTGCGTAGGAAATTTTTTGAAATTACTACGTTCCCCAACAGTTGCCATGTACATGCACATTAGGGCAGTTGCCATGTACCATGCAAAAACATATGGCAACTCGGTAAAAGAGAGTTGCCATCTGCTTACGTGCACACTAGGCAAAACACATGGCAAACTCGGGTAAAAAAAGAGAGTTGCCACCTGCTTATAAAAGCACACTAGGGGCAGTTGCCATGTGCAGTGCAAAAACACATGGCAACTAGCAGCTTGGGTGTGGGAGAGGAGAAGGGCGTGTGGGCAAGATGCCAAATGCCCACACACTAGCCCTTGTGTGTGCGTGCAAAGTGGCGTGTGGGCGAACTGCTGAACGCCCACACACCAGCCCCTCCTGTGTGGTGAAATGACCGTGTGGGCGACCGGCTGAACGCCCACACACCAGGCCAGTCCTACGTGGCACTAGAAACATGTCAAGATTCGTGCGCTCACGAACGGACGCGGATCCACGCGTGTGGGCGAGATGCAAACGCCCACACGTGTGGGCGTTAACATTTCCGTTTAATAATACGGCCGCATGCATCTGTCAGATGCAGAGGTCAGGTGTGTGATCCTCCTTCTCAAAAAAAATATTGGTATAGTAGTACTAACAGTAGAATTTGTGGTTTCCTTTTTCCTTGAGATGTGCATCTAACTTGGATCCAAAAGTCGTGGCATGATAGATGCATGTTGGAACAAAACTTGATTAGAGAGTTCAGTTTCAAAAGACATTTTAATGCTAAACTAGTAGTTTAGTGCACTGCGGGGACTGGTGCACTACTAATTTTCTCACACCCAAAGCTCACACCCCGTGATACTCCTTTAACCGGTGACACGGTCGATCTCGCAATGATTCCGGGACCTCATCGACCTGAGGTCGTCGTAGAAGATGATCATTGTCCATTCACGCTGCGTGACCGCTGCTTTGACCTGTGATGGAGTAACCTCTGAATCTCATCCTGATGAGCCTGAGGATACAACGCCGGAATTAATGGCGGTTTTGGTCGGGAGCCCGTGTTCGTTTCGGCGCCACAGCTGTGGCACGTTGCGCAATCATTAGCATGCATGCCTGATGTGCACACCGTCGTCTCTGTAACTCCTTCGCGGGTACATGTTGTGTCAGGCCCGGCCGTCTGCGCAGTGTACATTAGCGCATGCATGCATACGCCCGGCCAGATCACCTGCGCATGCACAGTGGGCACCGGTTTGAGTAGTTGCTGCGCGCTGCTGCTGCTACCACGCGTTAGTGTAGCTAAGTCCATCACATGCACAGATACTCGTACATAGAAAGTACAGTACTAGTATCTCTATTGCCTACGGGAAAGAAATGCATGCATGCATGCACATGCAGTACTGGTACGTGCATAGATCGAGTGAACATATATCTGCAGTACATCGATCGTACAAGTATAAGGAGCCGTCTCATCGTTCACCCTTCAAAATATAAGGAGCGGATCGATCGATCAAAAAGTGGATCGGTGGATGCACTTTGCTCGCTCGCTCGATCGATCGAGCACTTGCATGGCTACGATGGACGGATCGGAGCGGGTGATCAGAAGCAGGTGGTGGTGGTGTCGCCGGAGGAGGAGGAATTGTCGTCGCAGGGGGGGTGCGTGTGGCGGCCCTCGTACGTGGTGATCACCATGCGGCAGTCCGTCGACAGCCGCTCCACGCGCTTCTTCACGCGGCAGTTGCTGTGCGTGCACCTGAAGTAGCTCCTGCATGGCCATGGCCAACAAAATGTTTACAGTATGCATGATGTGTTTTTTTACTATGATGTTTACACTATGGGGTATATGTGCCCCGCTTTAGGTAGTACTACTACTACTACTCCAGAACCACTTCTAAAGGAGATCAGAATATATCTATTCTTCAGCAGAGCAGACAAATCATTAGCCAGTACACAGTTTGCTGAAAACCAAGCTGCCAGACCTATATATGGCGCACTGACTGACCTAGCTAGCTGTCGTCTGAAGTCTCAGACTCTTTGAAGAAGCACAATCATCTTAAAATGTCCGTTCCATTTGTCCTGACGCATATATGCAGGAGGCAATGCATGCATGGGCGTCTACTATATCCTAGTAGTATTTGCCCTATCACGATTTTTTTTCTATTCTTCTTTTGCTACATTGATCAAAGGATAACAACTATGAAATCAATATAAAACGTGGAAAAATAATGCGTTGTAATTTGGAAAAGAATATAAAATTTCTAGATGCATATATAGATAACAGTTAGTACTCCATGAACCAAATATGTTTAATGAATGGGACACACTAGTTGAAAACTAACTTTAAACATAGATACAATGAAGTATCTCATTTTGTCTCGTGTATATGCATATATATACACGAGAGCTTTTTTTGGTATATATGCATATATATATATATATATAGCTAGGTAGAGGTGCCTAAACTATATATACCACCGCTAGTGATCCGTGCAGCTTTATCGCATGCTACTTCTCAGCCATATATTTGTTCGTGTGGAAGATGATATCCCTTCTACAATCTCCTCTGTCATAATGCCACTGCCTTTCCACACGCCCCTGCTGTTCTTTTAGAAACTTTACTGTGTGACAATAAGTACTCCTTAGTTCACCCGTTCTACTAGTCTGATAAGAATAAATTAGCACCGGTAGATGGTTTGGAAGATTCTTTTTTTCAGATAATAGAAGAGAACTCTCTTAGGCCTTCTGTATTTATCTGAAGAAGCACACGATCGAGACCCAGATGATTCGAAACAACTGAACTATATGTATGGACTAGTTAAGCGCCTGTGTATCCAATGAAAGCATTCTTTTCTTATGAAGTATACCTCAAAACCACAAATTAAGAGAACTTCCTTTAACGAATCAACTTGTGGTTGGATTGTTAGAGGAACAGTGGTATCCCCAGCCTGCAAGCGTTCAAGTCCTGATGCTCGCATTATTCCTGGATTTATTTCAAGATTTCCGGCGAAGCACTTTTAATAGGAGGGGACGTTTCCGTCGACGACGAGGCGCCTAAGGTGACTTCGTAAATCTCAAGATGATATGTCATCTCGGTTTCTCGAAGGTGCTCATAGGGATAGGGTGTGCGTCTGTGCGTTCATGGCGATGAGTGTATGAGTGTATGTATGAACGCTTGCATCTGTACCGTGTTAAAAAAAAGAGAACTTTCTTTATTCTATGTTGAGAGCGTGTTTCATGTATATTACTTTGCGCTCAGAGTACATCAGGCTATTAAGTATTCTCAGATATGTACCCATAAAAACAGCTTGCACGTACTACGTACTGCGGTATTGTTGCAGGCTAATTAATCTCAAATCAGGTCCCCCCTGGATCTGCTAGCCACAATTTAATTGAAGCAAATAGATCATTAACTGAAGCAAATAGATCGATATCTCTCTAACCTAGTTACTTCTGAAGCTGCTAGCTCTCAAGGCAAAAGATTAACCTACCACTACCACATAAAACTGACCCTTTCAAACAATCTGTACGAGCTTGTACTCGATCCTAGCAGAGACGGGCAAAGGTCATGAGGAGTTCGTAGAAAATAGCAGAGACACGGGCAAAGTTCTTGAGGAGTTCATAGATAACAGGTAAAAATGGAAATAGGTTAGGGTTCTTAATTGCTTATAGAACCGAAGTACCTGGGATGCAGACTGTTCTTGACAACCTTCTGCCCGTATTTCCTCCACTTGTAGCCATCGTCAAGTACATCCACGTCGCTTCTGGTCTGGAAGCAAAACCTCGGCTCCCTCATCTTCCTCCTCACCTTCATCTTCCCCTTCTCCCCCGCCAACATCGTCGAGCCCCTCCACCTGTACGCTCACACGCACACCACAATGGCATCAAACGCTAAACATGCAGTTAAATCTCATGAACATAGCAACATTAGCTAGGTACAAACGCATCCCGTAACATGCTCTCGCTCACTGACTCACATACCATGTATTACTAGAATAACCATTACAGGCAGTGGCACCCTCATAGCCAACTCTTGCCGTCACCGACGTGCCCACCTGATCAGGAAGAGACATCAAATTAAAGGCATCAATATGTAATTGATCATCTTTGTAATTCTCTATATATGATTATGAAGCTAGCAAAGAGCATACCTCCTCAGCCCCAATATTAGGCATGAAACCGACCGTGGGCTTCTCGCAGACGATGGCAGGCGCGCCGGCGGAGTGGCCGCTGCCGAGCGGAAGCGCCGGCAGCGGGTATAGCCCACAATGGTCAGAAGAGAGCATCAAGGCTTCTTCCTGGTCGAATGGCATCTGGAGAGGCTTGGGATGGAAGGGTAGTTGAAGTGGAGAAAGAGGAACAGGTGTGGTGTAGTAGTGATCTGGCACACTGAGGTTAGGAAGACAGTAAGCCATCCCCAATTGGCTCCCTTGATCCATGCATATATGCATGTAGATCGTGGCGTACTGAACACAAGGTGGTTCTTGGGGGCACAGAATTCTTGAGATAGACTTGTCAATCTCTCTCTCTCTCTCTCTCTCTCCTGAGAGACCTCTCTCTCTCTTATTTTTTCGTGTCAAATTCTGATAGGGTTGATGTCTCTAGGTTTGAAGTGGTGGGCTATGGTGCTCTGGGCGCTGGTCTAAGCTGCCCCCTTTTAAAGGGCCTTTTTGGCTCAAGTTGTGTCGTGGGTACAGTACTTACTTCAGTAGCAGCTGTTTGCCTTCTTGATAGCTAGCTACTGGCTGCTAATTCACCACCTCTTAGCTAGATGTCGGGTATGACTTTCTAGCTCAATACACAGATGCCTTTTATTATTATTTTTCTTACGTAAAACAGTAGCATTCTAGCTACCGCATGCCTTTATATTTTGTTTTGTCACATAGGCCAGGGTTATCATCCTTTCTAAAAGAAAAAAGTGTTCTGTTACAGCTGTACATACAAAAACAGAGAAGAAATCTCAGAGAAAACCTACATGAAGCTAACCATCCATGACTGGAAGTCAGTGGATTTCACCCCGCTTTATAGATAAAGCAACGACCAACATATAACCCAATGGATACAATTATACAAACACACAGCACACACATACGAAGCCGGATACAAAGGTGCTAAAGAACGCCTACATCGCTCCAAATGACTCCACAAAAACGACATAGAAAATATAGCACCACTAGAGGTCGAAGGAGCCCTCGACTATGAAAGAGTCACCGCGAGGAGATGAAGCCGAACATCAACAAGACAGGGCCTCCAAAGCGGCGCCTTCAAAAAAGACACGACGTCGAAGCGCCGCCATCGCCCAATCCACAGGATCATGGTTTTCACCCGGAGTGCCTCAGAGAGAAATGAGCAGCCATGACGGTGCCTTCAAGGTGACAACGCCAATGGGCGCCACCACCGTTGGCCTGGCCAAAGCTTGAAAAAAAGTTCACCCCGGCTAACCCTTACCGCTCCCAAAATGTGGTATGGACAGGTTGCCGCACCAACACCACCACACGTTGGTCGCCAGCACCTGAGCCGTGCGCCCCTCCCACGAGTATCGTGTCTCCAACCACCAGGGCCGCTGCCCTGACATGCAAGACCACCCACCAGCTTTGCCACTGTCTACAGATGCCGCCAATCGGTAAAGGGGTAGAAGGCCCCACCTTTTTTTGAGGGGTGGGGTAGTGGAAGGCCCCTCCTTCGACCCCAAAACGATCCCTTTGGCAAGAAGGAGGCCCAGCGGGCCGGAACTGGGCAGTGGGCAAGGTCGGCGGCGGTTGCAAGTAACACCGCAGAAACCCCGCCACACAAACCAGGGACCAGAGCCATTGTCACCACCAAATCATGGCGACGGCAATGCCGAGAGACACCCCGGTCCCCTCACCATAACGCCCCTGCCACCTCCGTCCATCCATGGGCGCGCAACGCGTCGAGTAGTCGTTCCCCACATCCAAGGCTCGCCTCCAGCCGCAGATCCGAGCACACCATGAGCAGAGGAGGAGGGGGAGCCAAACCACCACCACTGCACCGCCACCTCCGCCAGCCAAGATGGCCACGACAGAGGCAGCCGCCCATGGCCCGCGTCGTTGCAGGGCCAAATTTAACCAAGCCGCCTCACAACCAGTTGCGTCGCTATCCCCGATCCCCAACCCACACCACCACCATGTCGTGCGTTACACGATGTCACACCGATGTCGCAGTACTGCTCCGGCATGCCACCAGGCCCGGCATCTAGCGCCGCATCCTAGCTTGACCGCACGACCCACACTAGAGTTGCGTCCCAAGAAGGCAAGTGGACACCACCGCCGCCTGTGTCGACAGGCTTTGCCCGATGAGGGAGGGAGAAGAGGAGGAGGCGCGCGAGGGGGGGGGGGTGCGTTGGGACGAACTTTTGGTCCAAGTGATTTCCCTTTGACGCCTTTCTAGTTTTCTCCTGCATCGTCAAGATTGGGCTGAATTCCTTTAATGATGTATGCATTTCTGGTGGGATATGGATTTGTGGAACATGGTTCCATGGGAACTCCTTATGAATAGTAAATTTGAAAATAATACTAGAAAAGGTTAAAAAAACTGATATTTTTTTTGGGTAATATACATGGTCAACTAGTATACTCGCATATGAAGTTTCACGAAGAAATAATATCCGTGGTATTTTGAGGAAAATGACAAAATTGAATTGTATTTTGAAAACACTTTTTCAAGGAGTAGCAAGGTTGGATTGTAGTTTCTTCACTACCGAATAGTAAGGTAGTACCTTGCTTGCCATTCCTTCATGAAGCATCATACATAAGTAGAATGGTCGACCAAGTTTGATATTAAAAGAATTCTGATTTTTAGTTAGTTCTCTAGTATTGAAAAATTTAATGTTCATACGGGTACACATGGAACCATATTCACGGACAGGGATTCAGTGACATGCCCACAGCATGTCACCGCGTAACATGGCCATTGTCACCATACTGTTCACCGGTGACATGCTCATGGCATGTCACTGGATCTCAATCCCATATTCACCTGTCTATTTTCGTTTCCACTGTTCCAAATAGCCCAAAGCAAAGAAGCATTCCTTCCTGACGGAACCATTGCAGATTAGGTAGGAGCGTGTCCAGGAAGGGCAGCGGTGTTGCTAACATGCTTTGGCAAATTCGCAGTCGAAGAAAACAACGCATTCGGTTGTTACATGCAACTAATTAATCGTTCATTAACCCACGTGAATCGTCGGTTAATTATGTTCGTATGCCAGCTTTCCTGGTTGCAGCTTCAGCGTTGATTCAACGAGAAACTTGCCGCCACTTTGAATCTTTTGGTCGATCAGCAGAGCTTTTTCAGGTGGGGCAGACATTATTGCAGCGATTGTTCCGCGAACAGGATAGCACTGATTGTACCTTTTGTTCCCTGTGATTGCTCGTTAGATATCCTTTTCATTGCACAGAAGGCCACTCGTTTCAGTCTTCTGAAACGCACACGTATGTGCGCCTAGTCTATTCTTGAATCATCACCTCGTTTCTTTCTTGGTATATATCTAGGTTACTTGTTCTGAACGCGTATCTCTACCAACCCTCTATTTTCTTTGACCACCCAACCCGCCTGATGGGTGACGAGGTAAACATATAGACAACTTTTTTAGAAGGACAAGGTCATATATTAAAACCGGGAATGGTCAGATTTTTAAGCATAGTAAATAAAACTTTTTATGGCAAAATATGTTAATGAGAGGATAGCAATTTCTTTTAGCAAGTATGGTGATTCCTGGCAAAAAAAACATGGCGAGGATTTGCCATGCTTGCTAAAGGAAATTGCCCCCTCTCGGTTGTATAATTTGTCATGCTAAAAAATCCGACGTTCAATTCGTAGTGAAATACAACCATTACGAGATGAAAATTCAAAGTTATTTCAAGCTAAAGCCACCAACAATATAGACACAATAAGATATATGTTCTGAAAGATGATTCCGGTACTGAATTTCATGACCACCGGCCTAAAGTTGCTCTGCTCTCGAGAGCTTTCAAAGATAAACTTGGCACTTCAATGGAAACATCCTCCCTGTTGGGTCTGAACCCTCTAATTCCAATGTGTGATGATCTTTACTGTCATGAAGTCCCCTTTTTCGAAAATGAGATTGATGAGGTTATTAGGCTAATGCAGGTGGACAAGGCTTCTGGCCTGATGGATTTAATGGTGCATTCATTAAAGCTTGCTGAAGCATTATTTGTGTGGATTTATACAGACTCTTTGAAGATTTTTACCATGGTAGGGTTTACTTGCATAGTATCATTGCATCATATATTACCCTGATTCAAAGGAAGACACCCTTATGACTGCTAGTGACTTCAGACCTATATCTTTTCTTGCACCGTCAAGATTATTACTTTCTGGCCAATCGGTTCCAGGCTGTCATTCTTAAGCTGGTTCATATTAATTAGTATGGCTTTATCAAAAGAAGGACCACTCAGGACTGGCTTGACTGGGCATTTGAATATCTTCATCTATGTCATCATTCCAAGAAGCAAATTCTAGTACTAAGGTTAGACTTTTAAAATGCATTTGATCTGACTGAGCGTAATATCATTTTGGATATTTCGGGGCAAAAGGTTTTGGAATAGATGGATGTTATGGATGCAAATGATCTTCTCTTCTTGCACCTCCTCTTTCCTACTTAATGGCATCCCTCAAAAGCAGTTCCAATGTAAAAGAGATGCCGGGCAAGGTGATCCATTGTCCCCACTTCTCTTTGTTCTGGCTTCCAACCTCCTTTAGACATTTTTTGATGAAGTCATGCACACAAATATCACTCAAGCTCCATTGCAAGTTCATTCATGCCCTCATTTCCCATTTATTAGTATGTTGATGATACTGTGTGATCCTCCCTGCTGAAGAGCCTCAACTATGCCAAATCAAGAATCTGTTATTACACTTTGAAGCTCATACTGGTTTAAAACTCAACTACAATAGGTTTGTATTGGTTCTAATTAATTTACTTGCCAAAATACTAGTCAAATTGACATCAATTTTGGGATGCCAATAGGGCTCATTCCCTTCACCTATCTTGACTTACCTATGGGACATCTAAACCAAAATTGAAGATCTAAGACAAAACATAATGCAGAGGATTGAGAGAAGGCTATCTCGGTGATCTACAATGCTTTCATATGATGGAAGAATTATTTCGATCAAATCAATTTTCTCTTCTCTGCCCACCTTCTTCATGCGCACTCTTGTATTGTCTATGACAGTAGTCAATAAAATTAATAAATATTTAAGACATTCCCTTTGGAGAAATTTTGGATGGAGGATAAGGGTCCTACTCTGATTGCATGGGAAAGGGTTTCTAGGCCAAAGAATCAATGTGGTTTAGGTATCCTGGATGTCACCACCCACAAAAATTCTCTCCTCCTCAAGTATCTGCATAAGTTCTTTAATAAATAAGAACTTCCTTGGATGAAGCTGATATGAGAAAAATACTATAGCT